TTGTTATTAAGCTATTATGTTCACTTATTGTATATTGTCAAACGGGCACTGTTTGTTTCACAACTATAATGCTGGGGCATAGCTCACAAACAATGCTTCACATAAACCACACTGACCCCTACAGGTCACTCTCAAAATCTCACGTTAACCTTGCATTTGGATTAACCCCTTAAGGACCAAACTCTGGAATAAATGATATGTCACACATGTCATGTATCCTTCAGGGGTTAAAGGGTATTTTTACCATACAATCAGCATTTCTGACCCCTACTGGTCAACAGCAAAACTGTCTTCACATGTCATATACAATTACCAGCCAATATAAATTACGCATAAGATTGTTTTAAACATAACCATAAACCATGAATTAAACTCCAACACGGGCTCAACTTCAGGTTTAATTCACAATAATTTACATTTCACATTAAGACTAACAGTGGTTCTATCAACACTGCCACCTACAGGTCTGTCAAGTACATTGACAATTTTCATGGGGTTTTACAAACACCAAAACACTGACCCATATAGGTCAACAGACAAACAACATTTCACATACCAATCAGTATCCAACTACACTGCCACCTATAGGGCACTCAGCAGATCTCCAGTGCACTTGCATTTTGCAACTCCATGTTCACTTGCCATTCAATAAGGCATACAACAATTCACATAGCAAGCAGTATATCAATATCTGTTATAAATACACATATTATTACACAGTATCACACGCATCTGTATATACGTAACTGGTAATATGGTTCACATACATACGGCACTTAATGGGTTAAGATTGATACATATTTAACCAGTATGGATATGATGTTTAATATTTACATATCACGGCACTTTACTTTCACATATACTGTATGTTTTAAGATAAGCTTGGTCTATGCCATATTTCCTTATGCCATACGGTTTTATCCATTCAGGTTACAGTTACTACTAAAAACCTATACGGATTGTCAGGTTCAATACCATACTACCAGGTACATACACCTGCTCACGTAGTTATCCATCTCTTACCTTCCCTGGAATAGTAATAGTGTACCGGCAATTAGGGTTCTAGGGCCCAATAGGTATTACCCCCTTTTTTCTCTGCATTATGCTTCAGTTAGTGGTCCCGCGAGGCCAACACCCCGCCTCACACTCGGAGGCATACACCCCTCGGGCCACTCGTGAGCTAGCCGCCTCGCATTGTATCATAGAGAGGGCCTCACCTGTCACTCCCTTCCTATTTTTCTGGTTACTGTCACCGAGAGGCCAACATCCTGCCACAACGTTCGGTGGCCACACAAAATCCCCTCGCGCCAAGCATAGATAGAGCCTCTCGAGCCACTTGGCAACTAGCAGGGCCTCACCAGTCACCAAAAAAAACCAAAAAAAACACCAAGCCTAATCGTTTCGCCTTACGGCTTAGCTAGCAAGCCGGTACAAGACCCCTGGGTACAAATATATAATTGCAATCTTTATTGTTATTTAAGTATTTCTCAAAAAGATGGTAAAGAATCACCTCTTCCTAGCACCACGGCTAGAAGAAGTGATACACCTTCATCTCTTACCTTCCCTGGAATAGTAGTAATGTACTGGCAATTAGGGTTCTATGGCCCAATAGGTATTACCCCCTGTTTCTCTGCTTTACGCTTTGGTTAGTGGTCCCGCGAGGCTAACACCCCGCCTCACACTCGGAGGCATACACCCCTCGGGCCACTCATGAGCTAGCTGCCTCGCATTGTATCATAGAGAGGGCCTCACCTGTCACTCCCCCTCCTATTTTCTGGTTACTGTCACCGAGAGGCCAACATCCTGCCACAACGTTCGGTGGCCACAAAAAAAAAAAATTTCCCTCACCAGTCACCAAAAAACACCAAGCCTAATCGTTTTGCCTTACGGCTTAGCTAGCAAGCCAGTACAAGACCCCTGGGTACAAATAATAATTGCAATCTTTATTGTTATTTAAGTATTTTTCAAAAAGATGGTGAAGAATCACCTCTTCCTGGCACCCCGGCTAGAAGTGATACACCTTCAAGCAGAGGA